ACTACAGAAAATATTATGCTATTAACTTACTTCACTTGTCTACAGTGTTCATAGACATTGAAATAAAACTTTATTTCTTTACTGGGATTTGATTTCAGATATAGCCATCGATACAGTTTCCTATAGATCCCATGACAATATCGAATTATGCATATTAATTTTTCACAGGAAAACAATGATAGTGTGATTGTTGAATGATTTATTAATATCCGAAAAGAAATTCTACTGAAAAACTGTCACTGATATGATAAAGGTAACATGATCTTAAAAAATAATGAATTGTCTTTCTTAAAGAAAAGGTCTAAAGGAAATGATGACATTGAATGATGAATGTCGTCTATGTGATGATAGACAGAAAAAATAATATAGTGCTATATACCATTTATAGAATGGTCCCAGAATATAGTGCCAACAAATTATGGAAATGCTGTCACAAAGTAATCATTGTTAGATTGTGAGGGCTTTTATTACTTTTATCAGACAAATTGCTCTCTTACTGGACAATGGTCACTAAGTGAATTTTCATTCTATACACAAATGAATGGTTCAATGATTGAACTTCAATCAGGTAGCTTACTGACCAATTTAATGTTTGTTGATTATATCATTTGGTGTTACGTTTAGAACTTACTGGTATACCAGTAACAAAACTGACCATGATAAACACCATGGTTTAAAATGTCTGGAAGATGGTTTGAAAGAACAAAGTATCAGCCATCATTTCTATGTATTAAATGACAGACTACTAATATTTAATATTTATATTAATGTAATTCATATAGACCATGATCAAGAACTGAATTGTTTAAAATTTATTTTCTCACTTTCTTGTACTGATCTAATGTAATGAATATCTACTAAAATAAAACTCAACAATTCACTACTTAAAGAAATAGAAGACAATTATAAAAAAATGTATGGGGAAACAGGAGGTAATTGGTTGATATATGAAGTCGTAAAGTAAAACTGATTGTTGAAGATAGAAATAAAGGCAATTTTCAAATTAAAAAAACTGAAGTATTTATCTTTTGTTAGAAGAAAAAAGAAAATCAAGGTAATAATAATAATGATGTGATATTCCCAGGATTATACTGATGTATGTGTAGGTTATATCAATGAGGCAGTGCCTTTTTGTGTTGTCTTAACCTGGACCAAGGTGTAATATTTTGTGCGCATGGTTTATTGAATGCCCATGGGATAGAATTTTACAGAGAATACTCTCCATACACAGTAAATCTTCCTGATTTGATCAGTAACTAAAAGATGTCCAGTGAATATAAAAATAATCATCCAGGGATTTTATCACAGTACAGATCGACAGTTGACCACCGGAGATAGATCAAATAACAACCTAATCTATCAAATATTGACTTTTATGGGAAAGTATCTGACCAGAAGAAAAAAAGAAACTTTTATTGACTTGAAGAAAATACATCCTTTATATGTGCAGTGTGTTCAAGTTTAGTATAACGAGAGAATGATGGATATCACGATAGTTTTAATAATACCTGATAGAAGTTAATGTTGGAACTTTATACGTTTAGTGATATCCCTTTTATTGCTTTTTTTTTATATTGTTGGGATAGAGAGGAGTGGGAAGGAGGGCTCCAATTTAGGTTATTTTGCCAATTTATAGGTTTTTGTTCTGTATAACTACATTTAATATGGATTTAAAAGTTGAGCAAATACTTAAATTGTTACAAGTCTACTCAAGACAAATAACCTGGGGTAAACATGTAGCACACACAAAATTGAAGAAGTAGCAAAATTTGTAAATCATAACTCTCTATTTGGGCCTTTTGTTGATGGATTTGGGTGAGAATGATAACTGAAACATATGCTTTGAAAGATGCATGTGTAGCTTTAAATATTGCTGTATTAAATTAACTAGAGATTGTCTTATCTATCTAACTCATGCCTAATGCTAACCTAGTTGAAAACCAATTTCTCTAAATTTATTGATGGGATGTGATATTCACTGTCTGAAAGTGAGAAGTCATCATTGTCTTGGCAATGTTTATGCTATTGGTAGGTCTAATCTGTCTGGATACTGTCCACTGACCATGAATAGGATATTGACCGGTAGTGACCAGTAGGTAGTGACCCGAGGGACAAATTAACTTTTATATAGGTAGAATATAAAGAGCAGTGTGGGAAGCATACAGGAATGAGCAGATGTCAAAGTGCTATAAAAACTATTCGACTACAGACAAGGTATTTAATGACCATTGGTAAAGAAAGACAGGAACTAGCTAATTCCATTGCAAATAAATTTTTATATCCTATTATTTTGTAATAACCGTTTCCATTCCACCACATACCAGCGAAGTCTCCTGGGTGACACTCACCACAGTGACAGTGCGTAACCAGTTTTATGACAAGTATTTAGATGGCCGACATTTGCATTAATGCTGCCGCATTCACACAAAGTCTAATCAAGGTTTCAGTAATGTGAACTATTAAATACCAACGGTCATAATAACCATAGTGAGAGCAAGCTCATCTAGTACGTATTTATACCATCGATAATAAGTCAATGACGAGTTTTATGTTATGTAGTGCTCATTATAACAGACAACAGAGCTGACCATTGACAGAAACGAGTAATATTAATGATCGCCGGTCATTACAGTTCAGACAACTAAATCACTAGGGCCAAGCTATTGTGGACATATAGCCCAAACCATCACCCACATGGACTCTAGTCAATTGAATGACCAGAACTGATTAAGAATAACAGACACAAGCTTGCCACCCTAATAAGATCATAGTTTAATTGTCAATATTACATGAGATATTGTCAATCAATACTAGCTTATTGATCTTATTGCTCTTCTCTTCAACAATTTCATGCAGTTTAATCTTTCAGTATACCGGCTGCAATAATCTTTTACAATTTTCACCCTAGGAAATGATAGATGCTTCACTTAATATAATTGAAAAAAAAAAACCTTTGTGCTGAACTCTCAGTGGAGGAAAAAGTTTGATCTAAATTTCAAATGTTCATTACACCAGCATGTAGTGTATTACTTCTACATAATTTTATGATAATATTATATATGGGGCATGTTTGTAGTATTTTATAATTAATTATATAGCTTTTGGGAGGATATCTTCATATGGGGTCCATTACATTAATTTTATGATAAGGGAAATGCAAGATATTCTTAGCACAAGTTTGGTTTTTAGATTGTGGTAATTTACCGATGCTGATGAGAGGATAATCATATGTATCATGCAATGTATTTTATCGTAAAACTTAACATAAAAGCCAGAATAATTACTGTACACATCCTTGTACATATCTAAAAAGAAGGAATAGATTAAAAATTTATAAGAAACTATCCACATAACCAAGCTACAGACAATTGAATCTGTTTTTATGGTCTTTTAACATTCTAATGCTGCTCAACAGTAGAATATTTTACTCTGAAAACCTTGAAATATATCCATATATAGAAGACTTTCATTATAGACTCTAATGCTAAGCTTTTGAAATCTGTTCCACATTATTTTGTATTCTGTCTTATTACTTTTTCAGGGATTAGTGTACTATAACTACAGACTTGTGTTAAAAAAAAAAAAATTAATTCTTGAAGCCGAAATGTCAAAACGAACTACCAGATTCTTTTCTTTTTTTCTAAAGAACAAGATTTTATGTAAAGCTGTGAAAATCGTAAAGTAGAAATGGATGTGAGGATTATGGTTCAATGGCATTAAGATAATTAATGGTGACCAAACTGTCCTTCTGTAGCAATGATTGTAATGTTAACCTGTTTAAAATGATGACAATCACCCTATAGGTTAATTGTTGAACACGCACCAGTTTGACAGTGACATATTGCACCCCAAACCCAGAAACATGGCTACTTCATTTAAACTGATCTCTTTACGTCACATAACTAATTACCCTCACATGTTAATACAGAGACTGTCTTTGATAAAACCATGCACTGAACACTATTTTTACAAATCACAGGAAAACGCATTTTAAAAAAACATTTGCCACAGCTTAGAACAAACACCCATCCTGCTATGACAAGAATGCCCTTCTCCATTGCTTATTGTTACTATTGTGTAAGAACATTTGCTGGAAGGCTCATTTTAACAATGTTTTTCTGTATTCTTGGCCTCAGCACCAACCGTTTCTTAAAAGGGAGATCATCATGAAATCATTTGTTTCGTTAGTTGATGATTAGCAAACGAGATGTTTGGTCCTAACCAAATGAAATGAAAACAATTGTGCTTTAATGTGATTATTTCAGTAATTAGAATGCTAATGAAATGTAATCAAGTTAAAATGATGAAGTTTGTCATTTCGTCCTCTGAATATTAAGTGTTTTCTTTTATTTTTGAAGGAAAACAAGTTGAAGCAAATCGAAGAGGATATGCTATTAATTGGAGAGTTGACTTTATTATTAGAACAATAGTTTAGAAGCAGATATATAAAATCTGACATTTAAAGTTTATATATTACAGGATTTATTTCTTTACTGTTTGTTTATCTATGTTTTATCTATGTTTACATAAATACAACTAGACATATAAAGTTTATTATTTTCACATTATATGCCTGGAAGTATATAAGTTAATAATTGTTTAATACAGAAATACAAGAGGAAGGATTGCTGATAACTTGGTGTGAATATATTCTCTCTTCTCTGTTATTAACAATTTCCTTTTCATGTTGTGAGAAGAAAAGCTAAAGACATGTGACTAGTCATGTGCACAGTAGCATTGTTCTGCCTTTTGATAAGGATCACCGATACGGAAACAATACTATCATGCAAAACACAAACTACAAGACAATTAATGAATTTCAGTACAGCGAACACGAATGCTTGTCTTAATTGAGTCTGATGGTCAGTAGAAAACTGCTGTACAATAAAAATCAATGACCATATATTCCAGTCATCGCTACAAAGTTAAAATAGTAACAAGTTTCATTTATTATTTGTTTCTTTAATGAATGCGTTTTAAATTGTTTATAAATTACTCACAAGAAAGATGTTCCCAAGTGGTATTACAGCAAACTACATCCAAACATTCTAATATTATAGCTGATAATAATATCAGCAACAGAGGTAATATATCCATTTGTACCGGTAGGACAGTGACTATTTAGGGTCTGTAATAACCTAGTCCAAGGTCTTAGCCCTTGTCACCAACTTGTAGTGTGAGTAGTGACTTGGAACATGTGCTGTCCGATAATAATAGAACACAACAGTCAGTGAAGATGTAATTGTAGTGTGACTGGTAGCCAATCACAGAACTCCTGGCTTCTGTTACTCATTACCATGCCAACTGTACAGACCAAATTTATTATTGCAGATGGCTAGAACAGTTATTTCCCTTGGCTTTAAATGCCAGTCAATAAAATAAGTTCGTTGACTCAGGTATTTTAGCCGTAAAGAAGAATATAACTAGAAAATAAAATACTATAATTCCATTATCGAATTTATTGATAAAGGTACACAATTCAATGAATGTGAATAAAGGCATGTTTAAATACATTAACGGTAAAAATCAATATACATCTTGTAGTTTTATATTCAAAAATTCATTTTATGGCTTCAAATCAATATATTTTTTCCCATGTGTTTCATTGAAAAATACTTCAAGTTTCATTGTAGCAGGGCATACTTAGTTTTAAATGAGGCTATGTTTTTTAAAAGAAAAAACAGTGTTATTATTCTTAGTGCGATGATGATGCATGTCTGAATATTTTGATCGGATTGTATGTAAAAAATTTGTATCTGTTTAAAGATACATTCACACAAAAGTATTTATCGGGTGGTTATTTTCAATAAAAGTATGCCAATTGTGGTATGTATGGGAAGTAGAGACACACAATCTTACTAGAAAAATACTGGATTCCCTAAAAAAACGTCCATGGACGCGCATAGGACATCAAAGGTTTCGGGCGTAGATTGTCTGACCTCTTTTCATTAGGAAGCACTTAATGTATATGTTGATAAACAGATTCTGAGACTGAACTGTGGAACAAAGAAGTGGGTGGGGGATAACCCCAGAATTTACTTAGGTAAATGGACAGCGATTAAAGACATTGTCTTTTATATGCAATGAATTCTTCTTCGGTTTGGCAGTATACGCCACAGCCAAGTCACGTGACACAAAAATACTTCTTTAAATAGATTTTTTATAGCTTGGGGTATTTCATTGTTTTGAGAGCCATTTGAAGCAAATTATTGATAAATTAATTAGTTTGAATATGCTTTTAGTCCAAATATATCATCAAGTCACCCAATTTGTAAATGGAAAGGCATCATATACATTGAAATCGTTAATGTCCTACTAGCACCCCATACAGACATTTTTTGCACAAAATCAGTAGCACATCCTTGATTTGAAATTAGTTGCAACCAGTCTAGTGACTATTTTCCAACTGATTCATATTATGGATCTGAATTATCAATACTATTTCATATACATTTTGACATCTCAGAAAAAGTACCAATTCAGTAGATTGCAAGTGTCGCAAGTAAACAAAGGTTTAAGAAGCTTGTAAAAGCCAAAGTATTCTATTCTTGTCTGTGGTAGGATAGGTTCTATGAAGATAAAAATTCTACCAAAACATGCCGCTCTGAACAGCATAGTTAATAAAATAGCAAACTAAAACATAAACCCAATGTAATTCTCGATAAATGTTGTCACAAATGACTATCTAAATATTACTGTAATTGAGACTCGTTTGATAGATGTACAGAGAATATCAATTGCATGACTGTTTATTTATATAGGTGAATACGCAAGCTGCTGCTGACAATGCACCTGCATCAGAGCTATTATATAAACCACTTTAGAAATTGTCATTTGAAGTTGAACATTCACTGAAATAAGTTCAACTTTTATTACGGGCCATATCTGGCTGTGTGTGGCACCTTACTAGTTAGAATTTTTATTTTGAAGTCACAAAAACTTGTTTTTTGCCAGGGTTGCACACCCTATATTAAAGGGCCAATCCCGATAATATTTTGGAGAATAAAACTGCTTAATTTTGTGTTTTCAAACAACTTAAACTTGTCAGTCTTCATCTAGAAATGGAGACCTGTGTCCCAAGCTGTATTATGCGGTATCTGGATAAAACTAGACTTTTATTTTATAAAAATAATGTGTAGGTGAAATTTTCCTTTCGTTATCAAGTGCAGCACATGGGTCATTCACTGTATAGAGCTCTAAAGGAATGGGAATCAATTATCAGGTCACCCAACTAAAAAATTGACCCAAAATCTTAAAAGGGTTACATGTCCGGATAAGCAATTTTGACGTTCACGTCCAAACGACTCAATATTTTGAGCTGAAATTTTGAGACAGGGTAAATACACCATTCCTCAATATTTTGCCGCTTAAATTTCATACATACTCGGACTTTTATTTTTGAGACTCTGTTCAAATCGGGATAGTCCTTTAACTCTGGGGGGTTGGATGGCTGAATGGTTGGCGTGCGCGCGCTGTATCATAAAGTCTGTCATTGAGTCGACTGGCGTGGTTTCGAATCCCCGGTTGTACGTGACAAGGAGTAGGGTCGCCTGTCCAACCTCGTGGGTTTTCTCCTGGTCCTCCGGTTTCCTCCCACTGCTAAAAACCCCTACGCGCAAGCGAATTATTGAAATAAAATTAAAACCATATGTTAGTCCCGAAATGACCTAGTTTGTGTCGAGTGGACGTTAAACCCCATTTCTCTCTCTCTCTCCCTTTAACTCTAGTTATTTTTTATTTCTATGTGTGTAGGACGACAATGCAAGACCAGATTTCATCTTCATAAAATAAAACTAATTTCTTTAACCTGATTACATGACAATTTGAATGAAGCAGGATAGAATAATCACACTCAAATGACAATAACTGACATGACTTCTCTTCAAAGGCAATCTGTTTGAATTGAATTTATTCAAGTAGAATTTTGAACTCTCATTTTTGAATGTCTATTTTTCTTGATAAAAATTTCTACAAAACAAGAAAAGAATCCCACAGTTCAACATTCATTAGTATGTTGTTATTTATCTGACACACATTGCTGACATGGGGGAAACTATGTCATTGGTTCAGGATGGAGAAAGAAACAAACTAAAATACAGCAATGCTTTGTTTTGTATGATTGCAGAGGTAAATGTACAAAAACACCTATATATTTTACACACCCTAAGATGGTCTTTGAATAAATCAGTTTATTTTGGAAAATTTTGAATAAAGCAATATTTTCTAATATTTTGAAATATATCAGATATAAATATGTTGTTTTAAATAGTTGAATTTCCTATTGTACATTAAAAAATAACAATAACCATGTAATATAATCATTAGAAGATCTATCATATTCTTTGTTTATTACACTTTTGATGTTCATTTTAATGAAGTGGTACATGTACAACAATATTCATGTAAATCAAATATAAAATAATTAAATTCGTGTAGTCGATGCACTGCATCACTGATCACTTTAATGATGTGGTACATGTACAACTATATCCATGTCAATCAAATATAAAACATTTAAATTGTAATAATACATGCCATAGATGCACTGCATCACTGATCACTTTCAAGTATAAAGCGTTCATTTATTAATAATTATTGTATGATATGTACAGAAAGGCTTCAGCAAAAATATCTTGCAATGTTCACAGTATTAATTATAAATGGCCTGTGTCTTCATGAAAATCTCTGTTCATCTCCAATATTTTATCTGGTGTTTTAATGTAAAAAAAGAAAACCTTGGCCAGGCATTGTAGTGGAACCTTCACTCTTTTAAAAGCTGTGTAATGGTTCAATATTTGTTCAAGGGGAAACTAAAAAGATTCTGTTGTTCTTTTGATGCATGGACAAGTTTTGACAGCTGTCAATCCAGGCTACTTTACTCACCGATCTATAGCTTTTATTTTGGATGGAATATCAAAGAGTTTACATATAACTTGATAGTCATATTTTTGGTGGGTAGAAATTGATACGATCAACATTATATTTACATTTAGTAAAGTGGAGAGCTCACCAAATGTTATTCAAGCATGATATTATTCAATTTTACTGTGTGTTCTCTGGTTCTAGTTAATATCATATTAAACATAATATTTTATACAAATATATTATGTTGAAGTGGATAAAAGTTCAATAAAATGTTAAAAACTGTATTTACTTTTGTTCATTCCAAAATTGATACATATGGATCTATCTTGAAAATTCTGATTGTGAATACCTGCACCAATTAGGGAGTAGATGATCATTCAATAATTTTTGTAACAATCACTTATGGTATTTAAAGTTTAGGGCCTACTATTTGTGCGGCTGATGAGAGTATTGATATAGGTGTAAAAATGGTCAAATGAAACCAGATTTTAGAAAAAAATTGAATTTGATGACATTCCAGTATGTCCTGATCACATTCTACCATGTCACATAATACCATGGCATTGATTACATTCCACCATACCACATAATACCATATGGCGTTGATCACATTCCACCATGTCATATGTCATTGATCACATTTTACCACAAATCTGATCAGATTCAACAATGATCTGGTAAAATTTTACCATATCCTGGTCATATTCAACCATGTACCGAAAACATTCCCTGATAATATCCCTACCTGGATGATATTGCTTTTTCTCTCAATCACAGGGTACCATGTCCAGCAGTACCTAATGACATACCCTGACACATACCGCCTTGTACTTGGTCACATTTCACCATAGCCTGATCAAAATATATTATGGCCAGGTAGCATTTATTATTCTACAGTATCTTAAGTTAAGAACTGAATAATAATAATTACTGATAAGCCTGAAGCCTAATCAATGTCAACTCTGTAATTACATGTATATTACAGCCTCACTGCTGTATAAATTACATGTATAATCGATTGTAGAGTTAATTCATTAAGCATTGACATATTAAGGATTATAAAGTTACTTGGAAAACAATTCATAATGTATACAGACCAGATAAATGTGTTTGTCAGTGTGTGAGAATCATCCTGAAAGGGAGATAGCCAGTCACATACTGATACTCTTCTGATTCTTAGATATTTTGTACTATATGCCTGTCTCTCCTTATCAACCCTTGGTTTTAAAAATGAAATAAGGTTTAACATCCCACTTTTCTGCACCGACACGCTAATGAAGATGGCAAGTCTCAGAGTGTTATAGTATGTTATTTTCCTTATTTTCCTGTTAAAATATGAACATATATGATCAAGTATATTGAAGTCAGCGCATAAGTAAAATGTTGTTCTGTCATTCTACACAGCCTATGAGCTAGCACCTGCAGTGTACTATATGAATAGACTGTGTACCTATCCCTCATTCTTGGAGAACTCCCTGATGATAGTATTATCAGATATAAATATTCTCTGTAAAGTTACATTTACAGAACTGTTCTGACACTTTATTATCATATTTTGACTAATCAGGTGCAGGCAATTACTCGAATTATTTAACGTTAAATTGATATTTCATTATTTTAAAAAATACAGGCTTCACATGAAATTTGTCAAGCAGGTGGCAGCTAACACCAGTAAGGGGAGATAATCTGTGAAGTACTTTTTCTTAAACATACATTATGCAAGAGCTAAATCTGATTATTGCAAGTCTTTATTTAGGCTTTAGATGTCATAGAAATTATAAATTAGATCTTTATTTACACAACAAGCACAAAATCAACTCTGTAGACCCATGGATGGCTTGGATTCAGCTTGGATTTAAACAGGATTTCGTTGACTGATTTAATTTTAAATGGCGTCATGAGCGGAGATTAACCGTTACGTTGACGTCATACTCCCGGATCGAGGCTAAATGATAGAGTGTATGAAGCGAGGTCGCTGTTGAGCGATGCCTTAACAAATGACATAAAAACTAAACACAGATAATGACAAATTATACAATTCCTGGAGACCGTGTGATGACTAATACAGACGGACAGGTCTTCTGTCTTAAAAATATCAATAAAAATATTTTTATTTCCCCAATAGGCACGACGCCACTGGTGTATACCTATAGATTTATCATAATTATATTATAATATTATGTCCTATATTCAATTGATTTAATGCATGCCCAAAATACAAGTAAATTTACCCTCTCACTCATTTTGTCCAATTGTTATAAAAATCCAAAAAGGTTAAAGACAAATTTGATTGATGACAGCAGACAAAAGACAGCAGAGATTATGTAGGTGGAGTTAACACCTGTCAATCAAACGGTCGGCCATACTAAGAATTGGTGAAGATGGAATTCAATCCCATTTCTAGTCAAAAATTACACTGGTGATAACTATTTCAGGATAAACAAGTTTGACTGAAATTTTCAATATATTCTTCTTTCATCATCTATTTTTGAACTGTTATAGCAAGAATGGCTAACTCCTTATAAAAAGACTAGCAATTATTTGCCAATTGACTTCAATGTGGAATGGCTGTAACATCACAGGCTGTAGCTTTTTAGTTCAACATTCCATTGGTTCCAATCTTTAAAGGAACAATGGGGACCACATTATTTTGGCAATCTCCTCATCATAATTTTGTAGGGGCTTGACCGTTTAGAATTTTTGCTACAGGGATTTGATGTTGATTGGGGTGAAAATGTGACTTCCAACACAATGATTGCTCTGCAGAAAGACACTTTACACCCCCTATCCCTCCGCTGTAATATCATCAGTATTATTACCCCAAACTGCTATGAAATTGTAAATTTAATCCCTTTTCTCCAATTCTAGACCAAAAAGTCAACCAAAAGATGTATGAAACATTACCCTGGCACCCGAAATAATAGATGGGAATAAATATGCAATGAAAAAAATGGAGAAAAAAAGAAAGAAAAAAAAATAATATGTGGTTGAATAAGAAGGGAGACCTCCTCCATGGTTTCAACTGGAGATAGAAATAATATGCCTCTTTATTTCTAGTGAACATCCCATCCCGTCAGTGGCCCTCCAACAAGAAACCAGTTAACAATCAATAAAAAGTAAACCTTGAGTGTCACATAAGTCAAAGCCAATTTCAAAGGTAGACACTATGTTTTGAGGTTTGGTCTAAATATGATGACCTGCTGCAGATTTGGTCAAAGGTCACAACATGTAAATAGGGTTAGGGCACATGATTTTTGACAAGATTGTGGGTTAGGTTTAAGAATATGGGGGAGAGGTTAAGTCTCCATATAAGCACTGACCTAGGATGATGAAAATTTGGTTTGTGATATTTCCTAGTTTTATTAAAAATACATGCAATACATAGATTAATATACATGGTTGGTTTCGCTGTTGATTTTATTTACTAACGGTTGGGTTAAGTTGAGGACTTGTGTTATTTAGTCTAATTTACTGTGCACTAGGATGTCGTTCAGATTTTTATTTTTAGAATATGCAATTATAAGTTTCTGTGTGAAGATTTTCAGGTGATTTTCTTGGGGATCAGTATAGTGTTGTCTGATGATTTTGTCTGCACTTGCTGCTCTTGCGCTAAATGGAACTACAAAACGGGCTATTGCGCTAGCCGTATGAATATTCAAACCTAGGGGGGCTGTTGTTTTCAATTTGTCAATCCAGAATTTTTCTCTTGTTAGCCTAAACGTTTCAATTTCTTCGGTAGTTTCAAAGTCGCTTTTGGTCTTTTCTATTGGCATGACAATGGGATCAGAAATGTCATGATTTGGTTGGTTGAAGTGAATTAAGACCGGTTTGTCTTTTTTGGTGACTATGTCTGACCGGTGACCGTTAATTCTTTCCCTAAGTGCATTTTGATTTTCACCTACGTATTCTTTGTCAAATTATGTTTGAACTACTGCATGAAAGTTGGTTTAATATTGGGAATTGTGTGGCAGATGTTTTGTTATGGAAATGGTCGGATATGTTTATGATTTTGCATGTTTGAAATCTTGGGTGGCCACAAGTTTTGGTTTTAGCTAATGATTGCATATTATTTGTTTCTTTGGCAGCAAGTTCAGTTAAAGTGTTGTTTTTTATATGTTGGAAATAGTGTTTGGAGTATCCCCTTTCTCTTAGTTTGCTAAATACCACGGTACATGCTGACTCAAAGTTGGTCTTCTGAGTGCATATCCTATGAAAACGGAGAATCTGAGATTTCATGATGCCAGAGAAGGTATGTTTTGGGTGAAAAGAGCTTTTGAACAATAATTGATGCATGAAGTGTATCGGTTTCTTTGAAAAATACTTTAGTTTCCAATTGGCCTGTGTTTTTGGTGTTGCTACTTTTAAAAACGGTAGTGTCAAGGAAATCTATGCGGTTATGACTTACATTTGCGATTATTTGGCAGATGGATGATGATTGTTCAGAATGTTGGAAAACGTCAAAAAATTTGTCTAGTGTGTACGTCCAGACTTTGAAAACATCATCTAGAAATCGTCCATAGAAATCTGGTTTTAATGGGCAGAGTGGCAGAACTTCCCTTTCCCACTCTGCCATGAAGAGATTTGCATAACTTGGGGCAAATCATTTTCCCATCGCATTTTCGAAAGACTGGAGGTATACTTGGTCGATGGAAGCTAAGTCATTCTTCCTCAGACAAATGTCAAGTAATTTGAGGATATCTTTGTCCCGCCTGGATGCTTGCAGTTTCCTAAGAAATGCTTTCCTAACTGCTTCAATACCTGTGTTATTATCGATGTTCGTGTACATACTCTATATGTTAATGGATATTAAAATGGTGTACTCAGGGACTCTTTAATTGTTAGATTTTGTGACCTTAGACCAAATCTGCAGTTGAGTTAGCCTTAATATTTAGACCTAACCATGTTTTGACATCATAGTCAACGAAATGTTAACATTTACAACCCAAAATTCACACTTGGGCAACGGGTACTCCCAATAATGGCTATTTTGATATGAAATAGTAGTCTTACCATTCCTGACACTTCCCATTCAAAACTTAAGGAAATAAGTGGCTGAGAAAATATCTACATTCCAAGCCTGTCGCCATATCAGGAGTCAGACTACCAATTATTTGCCCATTGACTTCAATGTTAAATGGCTGTAACATCACAGGCTGTAGATTTTTGCTCAACCTACCGTTGATTCCAATCTTTATAGGCACAATGGGGACCACATTTGGCAATCTCCTCATCATAATTTGGTAGGGGCTTGACCGTTTAGATTTTTTGCTACGGGGATTTGATGTTGACTGGGGTGAAAATCTTACTTCCAACACAGTGATTGCTCTGCAGAAAGACACTTTACCCCCCTTTCCCTGCGCTGTAATATCATCAGTATTACCCAAAACTGCTATAAAATTTCAAATTCGATCCCTTTTCTCTAATTTTAGACCAAAAAGTCAACCCAAAAATGCAGGAGGAGGGGAGAAAAAAATTAAGGGAAAAAAATTGTCTATTTATAACACGTCCATCATGAAATAAGGGGAAATAATTACTAGTCTTAGTCCTAATGATTGGATTATATTTTACTGATACGGAGTAAACTTTGCACATTATTATGAGTCATTTTAAAAAAACAGATGGCTATTTGAAGAAGGAAGCTTGGGCCATTAATTTTTTGTACAAATATGCCCTGATCTATGCCAATAGATGGCGATTGTTCTTCTCTCTTTGATTGATATTGACTGCATCATATCCTCACAAAAATTGACAGCTGCCAGCTTGCCATTATCACACCAGGAAACTTATTGAAAAAATAAATAACATCCTCAAAAGAGTCTATAAATATTTGACAAATTCACTTTTGGTTGTTTTAGACGTGATAATTATGTCATGCCTTGTCTGATACAACACTCCAAATGTTCATGAAGCATGACTAGAAAACTCATTACATATTTCAATGACCATTGATGAACCTTCTCAAAATATTATTTTATCTCGACAACTCAGACTCCCTGTTAATAAAACCTCTATGACATAATCTGACACACTTAATACTTGCTTTTAACATTTAAAAACATAAAAATTTGAAAGCAGATTAAGAAATTATTTAAATGTAACTGAATTTGTACTTTTCTAGTTTCAAAATGCAAAACAAAAATAAAGTTTAGATATATTAATTTTTTATTGTTAAAAAAAACCCTGGAAATAATGACATTATTATGGTTGATACATTGATTGATTTCTGAAGTAGTAGAATTATCTTTATGGAGGCTTTAACTATGATCTGATCTTTTTGAATTTTTTAAAGGTTGTTTACCTCAAAACTGTTTGGATGTACGTTTCTTTTCTTTGCAAATTATTAAATAATTATTTATGTATAATTTCAGGAAATATTTGTACCACAGAATGGTAAATTAGTTACATGGTATAGTTGTGGACCAACAGTATATGATCATGCTCATATGGGACATGCCAGGTAAAAGTTTCACATTATATATAAATCTAAATATATTGACTATACTACCAAACTTCATGAATGCTTTTATATTTTTGGACTTTTTTCCCAGCACAGCTTAAAAAAACTTCTTTTTAAATGGCTTCAACAAGAACATGTGTGACTCCTTATTAATTTTGTCACTCAGTTTGTCCATCTGTCCATTATCAAATGGTTAGTTAATGCATAAAGGCTACAGTTTTGAATTAATTTTCTTCAAATTTGGTATGAAGCATTTGGTCATGAGAGGAAGAAATATATCAATTTCAGCACACTGTGACCTTATAGATTACCCCCATATTTCCGAAAAACTTCTAAATACGATAGACGCTACAGTTTTAAAATAATATTTTTCTTCTTTGGTGTTAAACATTTTGCCCATGAAAGGAGAAACACCATCAATTTTCCGTTCCAACATTATGCCTCGCATTAGGATCCTTTTCAACTTTGGTGATTATCAAAGTTTTCTTTCCGAATAAGATGCTGTCTATGGCTATATTTTCTAACGAGACATAGCTGCTTGTGTGGGCATATTTCCAGCTTTGTGTTGCTATTTCCTGGAGTGTTAAACATTAATTTATTTTTCATTGAAGGTCGTATATATCATTTGATATATTAAGAAGAGTTATAGCTGACTATTTTGGATATGATGTATTTTATTGTATGAATATAACAGATATTGATGACAAGGTAAATATATATTTTTGAGAACATAAATTCACATTAAATATATGATGCATTTAGATTAAATATATTCAACTGGTTGACATTTACATTTCATCCATCCTGACATGTAATAACTATACACCATACCCCAGTCACCAGCTTTAGGTAACCATCATTTGTGCTGGTAATTGAAAATGGGTTGGGAACTTAAAAATCTTTGTCGTCTCCTTGATGTAATTCTTGATATGTAACAGTCTGCAAGTATAATTCAAGCGTTGGAAAGCATTGCTACTTGTTAGTTATATGTAAAGTAATTCATCTGAACGCAGGTTGATCTTAAAATTATGTCTATAAAAAAGTTTCCAGACATATGACAATGATGTTTTGTATAGGGTCACTGATGTATTAAAGCACACATATATTTTCCCAAATTTTATGACATCCTGTGACTGTCTGTCCCCAGTGCTTGTAAGTGCTCTACTGTTCCAATGTTTTGAGATATTAGTTTTTGTACACCCAATTTTTAATGTGTTATATTGCTTTTAGCCTGTCCCTCCTTTTGTTATTCATATTTCTTGTTAGAATTAAAAAAAAGGCAACAGTAATCCAAAAATCTTTTTGAAATTGCCATAGGTTGTCTATCTCATTGAGATTAAGAAGTCTGTTGGTTTGCATTGATTTTCAATAATAATAACCAAAGTTAAGTTAAACCCCATTGTTATGATAAGCAACTTAAAAGTTTCAAAATTATCATCTGATTGATCTGCAATTTGTATGCCTAGCAATCTATGGTTAAACTTACTGGAATTGTTTGTGAAGTCATAGGGAGGAATCTTCTCCAAGTTCAGTATCACACTGAATCATTGTTATTGGTAATTTATTTCCAGATTTGTTGGGAAAGCCTAATGAATTGTGCATCAGTTTTATTGTCCCATGCTCTACAGGTCTTGATATTTTTTTTGAACTTGTTTTGATTGCTACTTTCCGACATGATTCCCCCTTGTCAGTGGTTCAGGATGGATGGCCTGACAAGGACAGATGTCTAGTCATTTGGATGGAATGAAAAAATGAGGTCCCGTGTATACATTGGCATGCACGTAAAAGATCACTTGGCAGATGGAATTCGATATAAGAGTAGGCCATAACACAGTTTATGGCATATGCCCATCTTCATTACCCCAGTCGGAGCAGAACAGTAGGACGTTAAACCCCATTTCATTCTCAGTTTTGATTGCTCAACTAGTCAGAAAACGAAATCCTACTGCAATGCAATGTTGCCTAACAATTTTATATGGAGTTATTGCCCCTGTCAAATAAATATTGTAAATGTTTCAAACTTACTGGAAAGGGTTGGCTGGTCATAAGCACAAATTTATCATACTTGGCCTCGTCATTGAGATCTTTTAAACATTCAGAATTAATGTCACCTGCCTTTCGAAGAAAGCAAGGGACAATTAAAATGCATTTTCCTGTCTGTCTGTCAGTCCATCTGTCTGTCCTTACACTTTTTGGAACTTAATAACTCTCCTTCTAATTCAGCTGGAATGTTCAAACTTGGTGTAGGTGTTTATTAGGTCAATGCCTTGATGGAGTTCCAAGATGAGCATTTTCTGCTTAGTGTAAGCAAAGATAAGTAATTTGATTGGATGATGCTTTGGGACACGATAACTTTAGTTCTAATTAAGTGAGAGTGATGAAACTTGGTGTATAGTTTCATTACATCAATATCTTGACTACGTTCGATAATGAGCATTTTCTGCCCAGGGTAAGCAGAGCAATAAGCAATTTGATTGGCCGAGACTTTGGAACACAATAACACTCCTTCGAATTGAGGTAGAATGTTCAAACGTGGTGTCGGTGTTTATTAGGTCAATGTCTGATGGTGTTCGAAGATGAGCATTTTCTGCATAGGGTAAGCAGAGCAATAAGCAATTTGATTGGACGAGACTTTGGAACACAATAACTCTCATTCCTATTGAGCTAGAATGTTCACACTTGGCATAGGTGTTTATTAGGTGAATGCTTTGATGGAGTTCGAAGATGAGAATTTTCTACTTAGGGTAAGCAGAGATAAGCAATTTGATTGGTTGATGCTTTTGGACACGATAACTTTAGTTCTAATAAAGGGAGAGGGAGAACACTTAGTGTATAGTTTTATCACTTTAGTACCTCTACTAATCGATAATGAGCACTTTATGCTCAGGGTAAGCAGAGCGATAAGCAATTTGATTGGTCAAGATTCTGGAACACAATAACTCTCTTTCTAATTGAGGTAGAATGATCAAACTTAGTGTAGGCGTTCATTAGGTGAATGCCTTGATCAAGTTTGGTGATAAACATTGTCTGCTTATGATAAGCAGAGATAAGCAATCTGATTGGTTGATGCATCGGGGCACGATAACTTTGGTTATAATTAAGTGAGAGTGATGAAACTTCGAGTATAGATTCATTATATCATTACCTTGACTTACTTTCAATAATGAGAATTTTCTGCTTAGGCTAAGTAGTGATAAGCAATTTGATTGGTCAAGACTTTGGAACATAACAACTCCGCTTTTAATTGAGGTAGAATGTTTAAAATTGATGTTGATGTTCATTAGGTGAATGTCTTCACTGAGTTCAATGATTAACATTTCCCGCTAAAGCTAAGCAGTTTCTTTGACTCTTATTCTATCTGATAGAGAGTGATGAAACTTAGTGTATAGTTGATAATTAGTTTGATTGCTCAATACTTTTGAGAAAGATCAATGTGCAATTAATTACTATGTGTCATCTATTTATTTCGGGATTTCAGTGGGGGACATTAGCCTCACTGTTAGCTTGTTTGTCATGTTCTAAGGATTAAGTATATTGACATTCAGCATCACACTTCTTTTTATTGGTGAATTGTTGCTCCTTTCGCCAAAATCTGTAAAAAAAACTTTGTGAATCCTAGCCTATTTTAGATCAATTTTACATGGCCTACAACATACATACTAAGCAAATCTTCTGGTAGAGGTAGATTGGTTGTCTGGAGATGCTGTCAGTATGGCAGACCTGTGCAAGTTTCTTAACTGATGTTTGAATGACATTGGGAGGAAGTTAATTAAGCTAGTGATGCACAGAATATTATTAGCATACTCAAATGCTAGGATTCTTTTTACATAATGTTCAGCCTAAAGCAAAAGCTGGTAAGTCATTTTTAAAAATAAACATGGTAGCCAGCTATTGGAATTAATTCTTTTCTAAGGCTCAATGATTGTCCAGTTATATTTTAAGGCTTAATGACTGTCCAGTAAGAAATTTATGACTTCATAATTTATGAAAAAGAATGCGATTGAGGCTTCAAATAAAATTTCTGTACAGAACCTTTTGTGTCCTTGGGAGGTATTTGCTTTAGCATGATGGATTTTTTTCTTACTTTGGTTTTGGACTGATTTCTTGCTTCTAAAGCCTAGCTTATGTCTCTCTACGACACAATAAAACTGTCAGTGACTAACGGCAACTGAGAGCTTACGTCGCTATGACTGAATTTATCCACGACTGAACGCAACCACAAGCAACCAGTTGATCAGAGTCGTTGCCCAGCTTCAGTTGCAGAATTGGAGCCACAACTGATCACATGACTGCCATGTGATAACCTTCAAAATGGCCTCATTCCACTTGTCCACCTTGCTTGTTACCGCCCCTTGGTATCACATGACCGAATGTTATTGGCTACCTCAGCGAGGCGCCGACTCAAGATAGTCGTAGATGCGCTCATGTCGCTTGCGACTAGGGACAACTAGTTGTCTCCCGTCGTAGGAGTAGAACATGTGCGACTCAAAAAAACTGGAGGCGACCGCTTGCCGTCCGAGTTACACCAGTTGTAAGAGCACTCAGGTCGCCCAGGTAGCCACAACTGATCAGTTCCACTTATTGTAAACCAGACGCCGATTTCCTGTCGCCGTCAGTTTTGTTATGTCGTAGGGCAACATAAGGTAGGCTTTATTGGGGTAGAATGTGCCAACTTGGTGTAGATGTTTTTTTAGATGAATGTCTTGATTGAGTTAGCTGATGAGAATATTAAACTAAGCAGCTGTCCATCTGCTTCTAATTGAGATACAATGTTCAAACTTTGTGCAGATGTTCTAGGTGAATATCTTGACTGAGTTGGATGATAGGTAATTCTGCCTGGGCTAAGCAGCTGTTCATCTGTCCGTCTGTGACGCCTTTTGGAACACAATAACTCTGCTTCTAATTTAGGTAGAATGTTTAAACTTGGTGTAGATGTTTAATATATGTGTATGTTTTAACCAATTCCGATGATGGGTAAGCAGAGACAAGCAATTGAATTGACCACCAGTTTAGAACACAATAACTCTGCTTCTAATATTGAGGGTCGTAATAAAAACTTGATGAATAGTGTCATTGCATCATTGTCTTTGCTAAGTTTGATAATACCCTGTAAGCATTTTCTGGTTAGATAATAAAGAGAGATAAACAATTTGATTGCTAGATGTTTTATAAAAATATATATGTGCAAATAATTATTTTGGGATTAAGACAGGGAATTTAAGCTTGATTGTTGGCTGGTGAAATGTTCTTTTTTTCTATTTGTATGTGAGATCTTCTATATTTAGTTTATTTATGTGTACTTAGTGTCATTCCTTTTGGTATGATATTGAGATCAATTTATATTAAAATTTGTATCTATAATAGTTTTTTTTATAATAAACCTTTCCACAATCCTATTATTATAAATACAGTATAAAGCTCAATAAACTTGTACAAATGATCTTTACAAGATCACGGTATTAAATCTGTTACTGTCTGTTAGACGAAATGATGTTGGGTCATTTAACAAGCATCTGTGGGTGTGACTGTTGAAGTTGGCATTTTTGTTTTATAAAAAATTATATAGCACTTTCTGTAAGACTTTTGCTACAGAGTTTTTGCTCTTAAAATTAATGATGGCATTATATTGTATTAATTAATATCTTTGGCAAGTTATTAGATTCACTTATATGTACTTAAATCAAGTTAGCAAATGAGTGGCATATTGT